GCAACACTGGCTTGTCGAGTTTGCAGGGGATGTTGGGAGCTGGCCAGCATGAGAGCTCTGGGTTTGCACAGCGCCTCCTGTACCCCACATTGTCTGTGCTGTCTGTATGCAGCAGGGTGACTGAGAGAAATGAGCCAAGAACCTGCAGATTAGAGGAGCAGGAAGAGAGACTGTGGCACCTCTAGAGGGTGACCACACCTTCATTACTTCCTATTCTGTAATGTAATTGAATGTGAGCGCTCTGTGCTTTTCATCGTGCTTTTCTTCTGTGGTCTCCGGCACTTCAGTTTAGTGACTGATTCGGTAAGAGCCAGGCTGCCAGGCACAGCAGCAAGTGACTAACTAAGCTCCATAGCAGCATCTGATATTACATAATCAGCCCCAACATATTGGAATTGTTAAGGAAATTACTGGAAGACTGTCATTCCCTATAGCCTAATCCTTTTGAATAGTTGGAATATGGTAAAGGTGGAAGTCGGTGGAGACGGGGCTGGCTTTGCCCTCACATCCAGACTTTGTAGCGGGAGGTAACTCCACTGAACTCATCAGCCTGCCATGGAGATGGTGGGCAGCCTTGCTCCAGTGGTCACTTTAAGAGGAGAGGCAGTCACACCTCTCATGGACAGTCAGGTTTTTCAGGCTCTGAACATTAAGCTTTCATTTTGGAGTTTGGCTAAGGAAATCCCATGCATTAGTGAATCGGTTTTGTTTTTGTATGTTTTTGAAACAGGGTCTCATATAGCTCTAGCCTTACCATGTAACTGGTGATGACTTCAAATTCCTGATCTTCTTGCCTCTACCTCCTGAGTCTTGGGATTACAGGTGTGCACCATCATGTTTGATTTATGCGGTGCTGGGATGGAACCCAAGGCTTCTTACATGACAAGCAAGTGCTATACCAACTAAGCTACATCTCTAGTCCTGTTTTTGTTTTTAAAATAAAGGCTTTATGGATTTTTCTTTGCTCTTGTTGAATCATATTTTATTGAAACATTTTGGTTTAAGGCCCCATTTGTAATGTCTTGGGGCCCATGTGCAGTGCTCCATACCCTCTCCTTCCTTTCCAGTTAGGCCCGGTGTGAGAAGACCTACTTCTTCCTCCCTTCCTGGGCCTCAGAAACCCTGTTGCTACGACAGCCCCAAAGACTAGCAGAGACTTGCCAGATCTGCTGCCCTCTGCCTGCGACCCAGCCATTTCCTCTGGAACCTTCCAGTACCCTGGGCAGCTGGAGTCCTAGCCTCATCAACTGCAGAAGGTGCCAAGGCAGGACTGAGGAGAGCCCAGGACTTGCTTTGCTTGTTGCTAGGAGTTTCTAGAAAACTCTTCAAATTTTACCTTCCCAGCCAGCAGAAGATGGTCAGCTGTGGGGCTGGAGTAAATAGGATTCTTTCACTTAGGAGACAGGGAGCACAGAAGCCAGGTCCTGCCCAGCCCCAGGTGTGCCTCCTTTGGGGTCTGGCAGCTTGAGCCAGTGGAGGGCTGGCCCAGATCTGTAAGCCATACCTCTGCTTGAGGAACTGAGCTCAACTTTCTGGGCATGTATGCAGTTGTGATGACACCAGTGCCTCCCATTAGTCTCAGACTTGTACTTCCCTGTCTTCTGTAGTTGGATTCATTTAAGATGAAAATTCATTCTTCTTGAGCATTAATTCACTGGTGGGATTCATAGTGCAGAGGGCTCTAGACACATAGGGTCACATAATGTCAGTGTGACTTGACTTTCCAAGCATGTTTGATACCTGCTCAGAACTGGTGCCTGTGAGGCCATCTCACCTGGATGCTATCTGTGCGCTCCACAGCACCCATGTGGGTATGGTTGCTTTCATTCTCAGGATGTACACTTTGAGGATCTATGCTCAGAAATTGTGCCTCTGGCAGAAGCTTGGCCCTCCTGTGTTGTGTCTCGGTGCCTACTGGAGGCTGCTCCTTGAGTCTTGAGTTTGAGCCCTTCTTGGGGCTCTGGTGGTACTAAGGCCCAGAAGACTGGAGAGCAGAGCACAAATGGCCTGTCCCTCAGGGACCCTTTGGGTGATGAGGAGATTGGGCCAGTGTGGGGGCCACCCAGATATAAATGGCAGTGGGTCTATGGATGTCTGAAGACCCTGGGAGATCTCAGAAGGACCATGGATGATGTGAACACAGTGATAGTTACTAGAGAAACTTCCTAAAGCAAGGCATGTTTCAGAGGGTATAGTACATCAGGGAGATCCTAGGCAGAAATCCATCTTCAGTGGCGAAGTCAAGTACTGATCTGGAGTGAAGGGAGGCAGACATTCTTCTAAGTTATAACTGACTGTAAGAAACCAATAGTAGCAAAACTATTTGTTGAAATAAATTACTAAGTCCTACCCAATCATTGTATAATTTCATCTTCCATCTACCAATTTTCTAATTAGCAATCACACAAACATCACCCTTGTGATAACACAATGACATTTAGGGTCCCCATCCTTCCATCCCTGGCTTTTGCTGACTAGTTAAGAGCTGACATCTTACTTGAAGATGGGAAGATCCTGGCCTCATCTTCTGGGCCCTGGAATACTAAATGTGCTTTTCTAGGAGACCTCTGCCCCTGTGACTGTTACCTGTGTGGGACAGCAAAGCTACAGGAAGAAACCCACCCTTCCTTTCTTTCCTTCCTTCTTTCCTCCTTCTTCCTCCCCCTCTTCCTCCTCCCCTTTATCCTCCTCTTCCTCCAAGATGAATCTTCAGACCTCTGGTAAGAACAGCAGAGAGGATGGTGTCTGGACAGGCATCCTGGTGTTTGATGCTGCTGCTCCTGTACAGGGTCCCTGGTAACCTGTTTCAGACTTCTCCATTGGTGATTTCACAGAGGAGCCCATGCCATCTACTCATCTCGCTGACCTGCTAGTGGTCCTTGGGCTTGAGCTTTCCCTTTTCTATGCTTATTGTGTCCTTTGGGGCCAATGCTTTTATCGTGTACAGTAGACAGTCTGTGTCTCTGCTCAATCTTCCACAGGGCTACACTTCAGACACTGGGGTTGACCTATCTCTGCTATACAAGGCTGGGATGCACAGCTGGACATTCAGGGAGGGTTAGGAACAGTGAACAGCTGTGCAGTCTTGTCCAGTGGTCACAGTAACAGCCTGGGCCTGGGCACTGAGCAAAAGGCCAGTCCAAATCCCCAGATGCTATCGTTTATCAATCCTGTTTCCTTTTCAGAAATGTTACCTTCTCTGGAAAGAGGATTTTGAGTGATTTAGAATATTGTTGTTTTCAGCATTAAGTTCTTGCTTCCTATCTTCTTAGGGCATGACATTAGGCATTAGGCTTGGGCAGCGGAATTTTCATGTGGCAACGGCCCTCCACCACAGCCTTAGTTGGAGAGTTCACCAGGCACAGATGCCTGTGCAGCACCAGGTTCCTGCTTCATTCAGGTTGCTTCTAATTCCTCAGGCTCTCCCCTTTTTCCTCCTTGCCACAACTCTAGCCTTTCCAGAGGGCCATTGGGACTCTGGAATTGATGACTTACAGCATGTTCTTTCACTAGACTTTGGAACGGGACCCTTGCCTACCTCGTGGAGAAAGAGGCTACTAGAAAGAGGAATTTTGGGCTGACAAATAAGGTTAGAAAACCAGAGCAAAGGAGCTGCTCCTGGAAGTTAGCAATAGCAGAAGCTTTCTGCACCTTGCTGGGGGCCTGGCTCATTTCTTCTAGAAAATACTGTGGGGTCTGCCTGGTGCTTTGAGTTTCTGTAGTTATTCCTTGTTGGTTTCCAGCACTGCTTGGCAAAGAGCAGTGCTGTCCTTGAACACAATACCTCCTAGCAGGGCACTGAAGGCAGGTATGGATCTAGGATTTCCATGTTCTGGTTTTCCTGTATTCAGAGCCCTGGAAGTGTTCAGCTCCAAATATATATTAATGGGCTCCTGGATGCCAAGAGCCTTTCAGATCAGAAATCTGAAGCATGGCTCTCCTGTTGAGTGCTAATTATAATAATGATTTTTGAAAAGTATTTATCAAAGTGTAATTAGTACATAATGATTCTGAAACATAGCGGTACCTCAGAATCATCCATTCTGTTTTAAAAGTTCTGGAAGACAAATTTCTAGGTACTAGCCAGCCTCAGGTCACCATGAGAGCAACCCCAGAAATCATGTTTCCATCCATCTTTTGGTGTTTTCTTTGTAGCTAGGGATCAGGGCAGTCTGACAGTGACTTACCTATTAAAACCTATTGAAATTCCTGGGTCCCTATATCTAAAGTGCATAGCTACCTCTGCCTACCCATCTATCACTCTTCCTCCCTCCATAGTTTGTCCAGCCACCATCCATCCATCCATCCATCCATCTTCTGTTCCTCATCCACCTACTCATGCACCAGTCTGTCCACCCATGATATAAAATGAATATCTGGCCTGAAACTCAGAATCCCTCTGCCTTGCTCAGCCTTCAAAGTACTAGAATTAAAGAAGTGCACTACTGTGCCTGGCTAAAGTGAACACCTTTTATGTGCCATGCACAGTACTAAGCTTTGTCGATAGCTATGAGCCAGATTAAGGCAGGTAAAATTCTTGCCATCATAGAACCTGGTTTCTACTAGCCAGAGAGTTGGATAAATAAAACTGCATGTTAGCTTGTGATATGTGCCAGAGAAAGAGAAAAAATAAACAGGAGAAAGCAACTAAAGTATTGGGTTAGGGCTTAAAAATCACAACAGTTGCTGGAGCATGCAGTTTTGGTAGAGAGCAGAAGACAGTAAAGGACAGCTGAGTAGCTCTTGAGGAAGGACGTCTAGTAGAAGAAAGTGTCTGTGCTGGTGTAGAATGAGGTCTAGACAGCGAATCAAGCAGGAGGCCTTGGAGTGGCCTGATTTCAGGATACTTTTAGAGGCTGCTCCTGGGTCTGGAGGCCGGGAGGCTATGGACTGCAGCGTGGGACCCTCGGGGTTGAAGCCAGGTCTTGGGTTCACTGACCTCCTGAGTATGGGCTTCTTGCTCCCTGGCCTCATGTCATCTCTTCTCTCTCTCCTTCCAGAACACTACAATTATGCATCCCCCAGCATCAGCTCAGCTCTGCCCCTTCCCACAGCACATGCTTCCTTACCAGCACCGTGCCATGACCTCCAGACGTCCACTCCAGGCATCTCAGCTGTTCCTTCAGCAAATCACCCTCCAAGTTATGGCAGGGCTGTGGACAGTGGGCCCTCAGGGTACTTTCTGTCATCTGGCAACACTCGGCCCAATGGGGCCCCAGCTCTGGAAAGCCCTCGAATAGAGATTACCTCTTACCTGGGCCTGCACCACAGCAGCAGCCAGTTTTTCCATGATGTGGAGGTGGAAGACGTGCTTCCTAGTTGCAAGCGGTCACCATCCACAGCTACCTTGCACCTGCCCAGCCTGGAGGCCTACAGAGACCCCTCCTGCCTGAGCCCAGCCAGCAGCCTATCCTCCAGGAGCTGCAATTCCGAGGCCTCCTCTTACGAGTCTAATTATTCATACCCATATGCATCCCCCCAGACTTCCCCATGGCAGTCACCCTGTGTGTCCCCCAAGACCACGGACCCAGAGGAGGGCTTTCCCCGAGGCCTGGGTGCCTGCCACCTGCTGGGCTCCCCAAGGCACTCCCCATCCACCTCTCCCCGTGCGAGTGTCACAGAGGAGAGCTGGCTGGGGGCCCGCAGCTCCCGGCCCACATCCCCCTGCAACAAGCGCAAGTACAGCCTCAATGGGAGGCAGACCTCCTGCTCACCCCATCACTCACCGACACCATCCCCCCACGGCTCCCCTCGGGTCAGTGTAACCGAAGACACCTGGCTTGGCAACACCACCCAGTACACCAGCTCAGCCATCGTGGCAGCCATCAATGCCCTGACCACCGACAGCAGCCTGGACCTGAGTGACGGTGTCCCCATCAAGTCTCGAAAGACAGCTCTGGAGCATGTACCCTCAGTGGCCCTCAAGGTGGAACCAGCTGGGGAGGACCTGGGCACCACTCCACCCACCTCTGACTTCCCACCCGAAGAGTTCACCTTCCAGCACCTTCGGAAAGGTGCCTTTTGTGAGCAGTACCTGTCAGTGCCGCAGGCCCCTTACCAATGGGCAAAGCCCAAGACGCTATCTCCTACATCATACATGAGGTAAGCAGCCTTGTACCAGGGTTGGCCATGTTTGCGGGGCATACAGCAGGGAAGGGGCTAAGATGGAGAGGCCCACCTCCCTGACTTCTCCCTAGAGCTGGTGGCATGTTGGGACTTGAGGTATTGTCACTGTTCCCTTGGTCTCCTCTTACCTGTCTTTGTCTCCAAGCTCTCTTCCTAAGGCCACTTAATATTGGATTAGGGCTGCCCTAGAGGTATTGCTGCAAAGACCTTATTTCTTTGGAGGTTGTATTCCCAGAGGCCAGGGTCAGGGTTGCAATGCATGAATTCTGGAGATGTGCGTAGTTCTGCCCACGGTCAGGTTCATCACACATGCACAACTGTGTTTTTAATAAGCCAGAGTGGCAGCCACCCTCCTGTGTGTGTTTTGCCTCCTGCTCACCCACTTCCTTTCTCTGCCTTAATTGCTTTCACTGCACAGGGTGCAGATGGGCTCTCTGCTCCACAGTCCCCCAGAGCAGCCAACTCAAGGGTGTTCCATGAACAACATAGTCGCCTCCTCCCAGGAGACCAGCATGTGCTCGCTGGCAGTCTGGTAACAGGGAGCTAGAATGTGCTACAAAACTCTGGTCTTAGGTTGTTGGTTTTTCTTTTTTACGGGATGCAGGGCTTCTCGTGATTCACAGGTCCGTTTAACCATCCCACTGCTTTTATTTTTAACTAAACAGCTTTCCTTACAGGTGGGCAACTCACGACCCCTGGCAGTCTGGTTTCTGCTCCAGAATTTTCATCTGAGGTATTAAAATATCTGCTCAGGCCATTGAGAGCACATGTGACATCAGAGCAGGGACTGTCTCCACAGGCTGAGGCACATGTGATGCCTAGAGACCCTTCATATAGCCTGGAATGGCAGAAGCCTGGCATTTCTCTTTTATTTTTAAAAATGTTTTATTTTTATTTTATTTTTTCTTATTTCCTCCACCTCAGGGCAGAGTCAGACTCAATTAGGGCACAACCAGCTAGTTTTTAGCAGCCTGTGTTCTAGATATGAGCAGTGACTAGGAGGCCACTGGTTCCAGAATTATTTGCTTTTCTGGGGTCTTCCTTCTACAGCTCGGCATGTGACCATGTCTAGCTTGAGCTACTCAGAGAAGGGGTAGTGACAGGCTGTCTGTGGCTCTGCTGAACCTTTCTCTAACTTGTAGCAAAGGGAAGTGGGATAGTTCCTGTCTTGGGCATAGGGTATAAGCTGAGGACAGGGAAGTAGAACAGAGGTGTCACCTGTCCTTGCTACATCCAAGCCTTTGCTTTTCTTTCCCATGTCCCTCCATCTGTCTTGGGAGGTTGAAAGGGCTGGCAGTTCAAGCTGTGTCCGAGGGTATCATTTAGCTCAAACTTGGGAACCTAAAAAAATCCATAAAGACCTGTGCTATTATTATGACTTTCATTTAACTTAAACCAAGAATATTTCAACACGACCCAATCAAACTCCCAGCACTACACTTTATGATTTGCATTTCAGGGACAGTGAGGGTCATTGTCACACATAACAAACAATCAAACTCCAGATCAAGAGATAAGAAATGCCATAAAGTATAACTAGAGTCATAGCATTAAGAGTTTTTTAAAAGGTAAGAGTCAAATAAGCCATTGCGTGGTGTGCTGGGGCTGCAGTGGCAAGAATTGCAGATGGTGCCTTTCATACCCAGGCAAATGTTCTCTCCTGGCTCAAGGACTGGAAGCCTGGAATAAAGGTGTGTGTGTCCAGGCTAGCTCCTCCTGATTCCCTTTCCTTGCACACAATGGTGGTCTCTCATTGTGCTCCATGGTCATCCCTTTGCCCAGATGCCTGGCCTCCTGAAAGGATCCCAGACCTGTTGGATCTGGGCCCTATGTAATGATACCAAATAGATTACCTTTAAAGGTCCTTTCTGCAATTTAGTCACCCTCTGAGGTGCTGGGGGCCAGGACTCCATGTTGGAACTCTAAGGGACACAATTCAACCCCTGACTGCCTGTTTTAATGTCCCAGCAAAATAGCAAGATGTCTTTAAACACAAAATCCATTCCCCAGTTTTGTCTTGGGCTCTTTGCATAAGCGTCCTTGGGAAGTTGTGTGTTTCTGGTGGTCTGTAGTTGGCTCCCTGCTGATCCCAGCCTGCCTGTGGTAGGCCCTGGAAAGAAAGCAGTTGCTGTTTTTTCCCTTTGCTTGGGAGCATTGGCAGGGACCTAGTGGCCTGTGATCCTGTGGTCTTTATCTCGTGGTCACAGAGCCCCCGGGATAGCTGTGATGCCATGACATTCCTGTGAGCTAACACAAACAAACACCACCCCATGGGGGGGGGGTCATAGTTCACCTTTTCCCACTGTTTTGGTTCACCTCAAAATATGTTTCCTGGTCCCTTTTTGATGGGTTTCCATAGACTCGCTAATGGTTGCTCTGGGCAGCTGGAGGTGGCAGTGGAGATGAAATGTAGAGTGATTTGACCAGCACAATCAAGTAGCCGGACTTCCTCCCCGCGAATGCTCTCAGTGGGCAAACACCAGGCAGCAGGGACTCAGCGGTGTCCCCGAAAGGGCTGCATTCCCGCTTGTCCCTAAGATTTGGCCTGAGAAGTTCCCACGGTGTGACTCTACCCCCACCCTGGCACAATGCCTTATTGGGGCTTTCAGTTGTGTCCCAACACTGAAGGAACTTTTTATCGAAGAGTGCACTGTAATCCTCTTCTCGAGGGACTCTCAGTGTTCTGGGGTCACTTCACTTTGGGGATTCTTTTTGTTCATTTTTATGGTATCCATTCCCTGTTCTGCACAGAGTACTCCAGTTAGCCCCTGGGGCAGGTTAAAGAATGACACTAAATTCTTGGTGCAATTGAAGAAATTACATGTGTGAAGCTAACAGAATATTTGAGAGAATTTCGTGGTTTTGGATTTAAGGTTTAACTGAACATTGCTGAAATTTGGGAAACAAGCACAGAAGTTATGGGGTCTTGCTTGAGCCTCCCTGGTGGTAATAACATTGACAAATACCTTCTGCACAGGCAGAGCCCCTTTTTTGTTGATACTGAGCACAGATAGGGATGTGCCTAGAGTGCCAGCACAAAGAGTGGTTCTGGTACCTGTCGCTCTCTGGCTAGGAAAGCATGCACATCAGAACACCTGTATCTAGAAATGCCACTTTCTTTAGCTTATTCCTGACTGTAGTTTTGAGATGGTGGCTTCTAGGGAATTGTGCATGCGTGCGTGTTTGTGTGTGTGCGCACATGTGAAGGTTGGAGGTCAGCTTTGGGTGTCTTCCTCAGTCGCTGTCCACCTCATTTCTTGATACACTTCATTGAATCTGAAGCTCACTAATTTGGCTAGGCTGGCCAGCTAATGAGCTTCAAGGATCCATTTGCTTCCCCCTACCCCCAGTTCTGGGGCTATAGACAAGTACTACAGCACCCATATTTTAGATGTGTCTGAGGAGCCTAAGTCAGGTCCTCATGCTTGCACAGTGGGCACTTGATCAAAGAGATGTCTCTCCAGCCTCTTCTAGGGAATTTTGGATTAACCTGAAGGAACTGAAGTCTAAATGGCAGTCTCTTCATCTGTTCTATCCTGAGCCAAACTTCATGGAGCACCTGTGCTGTGTCAGAGCATGGGTCAGCTCTGTGAGGCAACATTTTTTTTTCCTTCTAGAACAGGCTCGTAGTGTCTTACTATCTTTCACTATCCTCACCCAGCACGATCTCTGGATTTGCTTGTAAAAAGACAAAGTTACATGAAGAATTCAGATAAAAGGGAACTGGTTTGGGGATAGTGGAAGCATTTTCATTGTGTCTATAGCATCAGTGGCATGTTTGTTGAGTTAGATTTCTATGCACGAACCATTGCTTTTTTAAGAGTAAAATCCCCCAGGGGTGGGTCAGTCTTGACAAACAGCTTTTACTCAGCGCCGACTTGGCTCAGATGATGAGAAAATTGTATTATGCTCAAATCAGTGTATGTCAGACCTTGTTTCTTTCAGATTTTGGCTGTGATGTTGGACGCCTTGATGATACCAATGGCTTTGATGATATGTACAAGTGTTAGCTTCAAAAGGTCTAACAAGTCCTCTTGCATTTTGAGGTTATCTGAATAGCTCAGAGTTTATCCTAAGTGGGAATAAGATTAAATGAGCCTGTAGATGGGTCACAGTAAATCCAGGTCTTATCTTTCTCCAAACATGCCCTGCCACTCTCATCGGGAAATTTTCAGTTTGGATAGCTGCTCTGTGAGTCCAGTATCCTGGTAGTATGGGGCAGGCACATAGTCGATCGAAGACCGTTCTGGCTCCTGTGGGTCTTTGGGTTCCTGGGTTGAGGGGCCTACCTCAAGGCTCTGGTGGTTAGTCCAGATGTCTGACATCTGCCAAGAACATCCACGTCTCTGGACTCTAGAGGGGCTCATCAGTCCCATGATGATTGCAGGTTGGTTCCAAGCCAGAATCCAAGAGACCCCTGGTCTTCTCTAGAACATAGGAGGGCAAGTGAAGTGGCAACCACAGGAAGGCGGAGCTTTTGGACTGAAGGACGCTTGCATCACCTCCTTGGAGATGCTTACACAGACCTTGGGGTATAAGATTACCCTGTTTTGCAAACACCTTCATGGCTGGGTCTCTGCCAATAATAAAAAAAGCACTTTACAGCCATTCCTAGTACATTGTACGTATGATTCCCAGTACCCTATCCATATGACTCCTAGTACACTGTCTATATGAATCCCAGTGAATCAGCCAGTATGAATCCCAGTGCCTGTCCATAGGATTCCCAGTACCTTGTCCACAGGATTCCCAGTACCCTATCATAGGACTCCTCTGTTCCTTGAGTGCTATCTTTGTTCCAGCAGGAAATTTGGTGTCCTCATTGGCTTCCAAGCTGGTTTCCTTGTTGCAGCCTGGTGATAGTATTTCATTCCTTGTTTTAGGGACCTCATCATTGGCCACCCTTCTAGGCACTAAGCATGTGTGAGTCTCCTACTCCCTCCCCTATCTCTAATAAATATGCAGTGTTCAGAGTT